CCCCCCTCTATTTTTTGTTGAAAAAAACAAACTGTAACTTCTTCACAGTTTTTCGACTCTTCTTTATATATTATATATAATTATATATATATATATATATATATATATATTTTCACCTCGACTTTTTCCTTATATTTTTTTTTATTGTTTTTCAAGTTTTCATTTATTTTTAACTTCATTTACTAAGTAAACTATAAAAAGTAGTAAGCTTTTAGAAAGAAAAAAAAATAGCTTGAGCACTCACAACCATCAAATACTGATTCGCCATGGCATAGAAACAGGTTGGAGCTTCACACTGAGAATCATTTGTCAAACCAACAGGGAACCATTTCCTAACTACACGATGAGCATAAAGGATCCCGCCCAAATACTTTTCCTTTCTCTGTGCTCCCCAAACGACTTGAAATTCACGTTTTTTTAAGGCAGGAATCAAGGATTCCGGTGCCGGAGTTGGTATCGGCGACGGCGAACCTTTCGTGTGCCTCTTGTGCGGTGGAATGTAAGACATGCCTCTCACTATGATCAGTTGCTGCCCTGCTGCTCGACGGACTGTTCAGTTCTATCTGCACATTTTTTCTTAAACTAAAATACAGGAGTATCAAATTAAACACGTTTTGGCCATGAAAAGAAAAACTCACTATTTGAAATTTTCAAAATAAATTTTGAAGTTGAATTTGTTTTTAGTTGAAGTTATGTTTGTTCAAAGTTTTTGTAATTAATATTTAGAATCTAGATGTTGTTGTAAATATATATTTATGTTGATGTTCATAACTTCAAAGTGTAATTACACCATAATGTATAGTAACTCCCTCACCTTCATAATCTCCCCCCTTGATATTTCTTCATAACTTACATGGTTAATATCTCCATAATTTTCATGGTTAATGTCATGTTTATGGCTAACCTTTGTACTGTAAATAGAGATATTGGAGTTCATATTGGATACATTGAAGATTTGAAGAGCACTTGAAAAGTATGGGAACACTTGAATACTTGGAAGAATAAGAAAAGTTGTCATCTTTTGTCTCCCTATTTCTATTACTCTCATCTTTTATATTTTTTGTCTTATTTTGCTTTAATTTTACAACACGTTATCAGCACGATTCTCCAATTTTTCAAATAAAGTTTCAACTTGATTCTTTCCACCCGTGATAAGGAAAGGTAAAAGTAAGATATGTAATTTCTCCAAGTTAGTTGCTTACTCGAAAAAAATAAGTTATTGAGTTATGTGTCATAAACATATTGAATGGATCATCATTATTGGTTACTTTTGTACCTCTTTATTTTTCATAATCTAAACATTTACTTGTTGAGTTATTAATATATTATTTGTACTAACAAAGCTTGTTTTGTGGTTATTTTTAAAACGGTTAGTAAATTATGTTAATCTTCGTAACAATATTGAGAAGGATTGTTAAAATGTAGTAATTTATTTTAACTTGAGACTTCTATATGGTTCCAACATGTTGTTTTAATTAATTAATTTTGTTCATTTTTCTTCTATTTTAAGTCAAATTCAGATTACATTTATGGTATTCGATATTTATTTTTTGGTAACGCATACATAACTATAAAAATTCATATGGAACGCACGTGTCAAGCACATGCTCAAAACTAGTATAATAAAAATACAAATTTGTTTTACAATTTATTTTTTTTATATTCGTTAATATTTGTCCTTTTTCATAATTTGACACTTAAAAACACTTTAAAAAAATTAGTCAAACACAATTTGCTCAAAAGCACCCAAGAGCATTTTTCAATTGGATTAACCGAACACAAACTTTTTTTTAAATCAGACTTAGGACGCCGCAGTCCTTTTTATTGAAACAAAAGGTCAGCAAGCCCATGAAAAAAAAAACACAACAAAAAATGTTTACAACCCGCTCAGCCCAAATGAACTGAATTAGCTCTATTAAAACAAGACCTTACGAAGTAGGGTTTCTTAATATGTTCCTCAGGTTTTCCTTCTTCATTTCGTTCACTCCGCCGCTGAGGATGTTTTGTTTGTAATTTCCCAACTCCAACTTCAATCTCCTCCAATTGTGGGTGATAACCCTTCTCCATCTCCAAGTGATTTAGATTTCGATGTTCAGCTTGCAAAGATATATTTCTTTTTTTCTTGTTCTCTTTTCTTTTCTTGTCGACCACTGACTTCTTCCTTTGTTCAGGTGTCCCATTCGGTGTAGATCCATGAGCTTCTGGAAAGCTTTCTAGATGGTTTAAACCTAACATTTCAGCAATATACCCTTTGATTTTTATTTTGTATCCCCCTCACCTCATTTTTCTGATTATATACTTGATCCTCTTCCCCAGAGATCTAAGATGAGGGGACTCAAGGAGAGTCATTGACGCCAACTATCGTTCATACAAGATTCATACTAGATGTGATCAATCTCCCTCTCTCATACACATGATCATGGACTTGAGGAATTCGTAAGTCATCTCTTGTTTAACCCCTTTATGTATATTTTTTAATTATCTATTATTTGTCTTTATATATATACATAAGAAAGATTCCCCACACTTACTCGCATTAAATATAGGATATTTTTCATGTGCTCAATGCGTGCAAATAATTTTATGTGTGAGGCTATGTAATTTATATTTATGTCAATTTATCCATACACTTGTGAAATATGAAATGGATTGTTCAAGGGAAATTCACCCAGACATTTGTAAAATAGAAAGTGGATTGTTCTAGGGAATTTCACCCAGACAGACCTGAAATATAAAGCGGATTGTTCGACGAAAAAGATCTATCTATATTGATAGTGATCCGTCGCCTTGAAGTTTTTGCCGCATCTATTTTATGCCCTCTTGTAGTGATTGGTTAGGATAGGCCGGTTAGAACCTCTCTGCAGTTCTTGATTCTGATTGAACTATGGAGAATCAATATTTTTTGGCGACTGAAGAAGAACTGAAGTAGATTCTTTCAATTGAGATTCGCCAAAAATATACAAATAGTAATCCTTGACATATCAAGCGTGCGAGGGAAAACGTGTATCTATATTGATAGTGATCAATCACCTATAAGTCTCTGTCACAACTATTTCCTTCCCGCTTTGAGAGATTGGTCTAACTAGGCCAATTAGAACTTCTCTGTAGTTCTCAATTCTGATTGAACTAGGGAGGTTCAAATTGTAGCAGAGCCAAAGGTGATTCTTTTAATTAAGATTCACCCAAAAAATATATATAATAGCCCTCGACCCCTAATGTATGACCTCCCCGTTTGGACTGCAGATGTAGGAAGGCGGTCTACCTGCTAATCAAACTGCATTATATGTGGATAAAAGAATGTTAATGAATTCATTTTGCGGAGAAATCAATGTTTTACTTTACAATTTTCGTTCGATGAAGGAGTAAAGAGTCGTAGCGATATCAGCACGGTATTCTGATTTACTTATATAATTTATTTATTGTTTTTTTAAATTACTTGTATATCAAAAAAATCAAATTTGAAAAGTTGATCTAACACATATTCTATTGACTATTAGTTAGAAAATAGACAATATTAATTATATCATAATCTATAAAAAAATAATTAATTATCTTATTTGTATTTAATATGTATCATATTGTATAAATCTAAATAATTATTGTTCAAGAATAATATTTTAACAATTGAAAAAATCCTAATGATCAATGTTTGAAAAATGTGAAAGACATATTTTCTGTTTTTTG